AAATATTTCCCTAATTCCCCAGATTCAGTTCCACCGTTCGGCCACTCAGCATAATGACAGCTGAAGTAACAACGCTCCATACAGACTCCAGATAAGTCTGCTCTCCAAGTACAAATATGTTGCAGCCTCATTCTCCCAAGATCACTTAGAAATTCTCCTTGTCCATCTGAAGATGCTAATAAAATTTAGAAATGATTTTAGAATTCTGCAGCAGTAAATAAACCACCAGGTTTTAAGGGACCAAATCCTTCCCACAGGAATTTAGAAATTTGTTCATTAAATGATCGGAAAGCCTAAAGCCTCTCCAGTTCTCTACAATCAGCTAATTTTTCTCTACTCCTATGCTCCATCCCCAATTACCTCCTTGCCCAGCTCCAAACCCCCTCATCACCCAGTCCCCAACTGCAGGGCTCTGGGAGGAAGCCTGTCCTAAGCTGGTGAGCAAACCAGCTCATCTTATCCACAGAGCTAAATATTTCATAGCTCAAGTTTACCTGGGACTCCTGAAGTCTCCCCAGCTCTGGTGTGAAAGAAAAGCTGTCCAGAAGAGGCACCGACAAGTGTGTGCTAACTCTTAGCAATGCCAGAAACTCTCCAACACAGAATGCTGAAACTTTTTGTTCTTGTTGTTTTATATTCTTCGCATTATTCAATTTGTAAGTTTGTGCTAAATGGTTCAGACATGGGAAAGCTATGATGTACCCATATTTAATGCCAGGTACACCCTTGGCTCTTAGGTGTTTGTGCTCAACTGGATTCGCCATTACAATTGAGGTCCCCCATGGAGTAGAGGGGCTGAGAAGGGACCCTGCTGCAAGGGAGAGACTTGATAGGAGCGCAAGAAGATGTCTGAGCACGCTTATCATGAGTGATGGCGCTGTGGGCTCAGATCCTAACTGTGGACTGAGCTGAGACACAGCTAAAAGAAACAACACAAACCCAAGAATCCCTCAAAATCACCACCTTTAAATAGTCCCTGAGGATAACAATAGGCAAACAAATAAAATATGAAAACCTATGATTATTATATACTGTATCTATCCATTCATCCAGCCCATTTCATTTTACCCATTTATTGAGCATCTATAGAGCAAAGCTTTGCTGGATTGTAGAGACTACTATGATGAATTACTTGCCTATAATCTAATTAGGTAAATATTTATATGTCCATAAATAAATTATGAAAGGAAAACAGAAAGGGCAGGCTTTCAAGTGACAAGAGAGGAATACAGTACCAAGTGCTATCGGATTTTAAAAAAGAAAGAACAATCATAATTGGTTAAGGAGAAATATAAGAAAACACGAAGGGAATAAAAAGCCCAAAACTCAGCCAGGCGCGGTGGCTCACACCGGTAATCCCAGTACTTTGGTAGGCCGAGGCGGGCAGATCATGAGGTCAGGAGATCGAGACCATCTTGGTGAAACCCCATCTCTACTAAAAATACAAAAAATTAGCTGGGCATGGTGGTGTGCAACTGTACTCCCAGCTACTCGGGAGGCTGAGGCCAGAGAATTGCTTGACCCCAGGAGGCAGAGGTTGCAGTGAGCTGAGATCATGCCACTGCACTCCAGCCTGGGTGACAGAGCAAGACTCTGTCTCAGGAAAAAAAAAAACAAAAAACAAAAAATGCCCAAAACTCAGAAGGAAACTCCAGCAGGAAAGATGTGATCACGCACCAAGCTGGTGTCAGTGAGATGGAAAGGAGCAGCATGGGAAGACTGAAGAGGCAGTGGTGCAGGCAACAGGCCGCAGAGCATTTACTTCTGAGGAATGAAACATGGTTTGGGTATCCTGAGGGATAACCGTGAGAGCTGGGAAAGTGTGAGCAGAGACCGCCACTTTGGGAGCATCCAAGTCCAAATAGCCACCCCACTGGGCAGCTGGGGGGACCTCTTCCTCTGGGCTTTGTTAATGTAGAATATTAAGGAGTGCTTATGCTCTTGTGCATCAATATCCTGTTTTCCTCCTCACCCCCAGGAATTTCCTGAAACAGAGGGAAACCTCTGGTTCCAGCAGCAGAAACAGAAAAGCTACACACCTGGTTCCTCATGTTACACTAAAGGTTTTCCCACACACATGCTGCTCCCTCAGAAAATTATCATTCTGATCCATCATACGTTGTAGGAGGGTCTTATCCTCATTTATATCCTTATTATGATAAATGAGTTCCAAGTTCTAAATATCTGTCTTACCAGTAAGTTTTAGAATACAACCACACTTTGGGAAGCTGTGGGGCAGACTACATGAGAGTGAAAGCAGTCTCATGTCCCTGCTCCAGGTTCCAGACATTTCATTATCTCAGGACAGAAAATCTGAAGGCATGGAGCTCATAAATGAATGAGGACCTTGTTTGTAAGCCTCGATGACCATTTTCCCATGGAGTGTGTTTCTAAGAGTCAACAGCCTAATGACTGGGCTTTTCTAGGGAAAGGAGGTACTGTAGGTCCTTGTTTGTAAATAAATGGAATGAAGGCAATTGATCACATACACCAGAGCCTACATGGAATACCATAAATTAAGCAGTGCTCTTTCTCCAATGAGTTTGCAAGTGCCTAGAAGCAGCAGGGCTGCTTCTGAACTTCCTTCCAGGCATTTGGTGTTAGCCTAGAGTAGCACATGGATCCCTGTGGATTAAAGGACAAAACCAGGAGGGATGCTGGCTTCCATCATCCCTTTCCCTTTCGCCCTCTCCTGATTCTATAAATCACTTCTGGCAGGTAGCTGGGAAGCAGCTGCGAATGACAGGTTTGCTCTGGAGCACAGGAAGCCACCTTTTAACCCGCCTGCTGTTGTTTGTCTCTCAAAACGTGACAAAGGAACAGATGTAAGCAACATGCCAACTGTTGAGAGGATCTGCTCGGAGCACTATAGGAAGCCTGTTTGGAGCCACATCACACCGCCAATCCGAGGAGGAACAACTGAGTTCATTTCCTGAAACCCCCTCTGCACACTCTTGTTCAAGTCAGGTTGGGTCAGCAGTGCTCAGGCTACGCACCACGCACACCCCTGCTTCCACCATTGCCCCTATGGCTCCCAGGTCTCGAAGCCCCTTCCTAAGCCCCATTCAAATGCAACTGAGAAGTTCATAAGTCCAGCCTTGCCCCCGGCGAGGACTTCTTTGACCCCATGCCTCTCCCTCATCTCTCAACCAGACTACTTTTCACAGTCTGTAAGCCTCTCATGGGCCAACCTCATTTCTGCAAACCACCTTGTGATCTCCAACTCTTTGAGGGCTGGAGCCATGGCTTACATATCTTTGTATTCCCAAAGTAATGGTTTTTCAAATCACCAGTTGCAAACCATGAGTGCAATGGGAAACAAGTATAATGGGTTGCACCCAATATATTAAAATATAAAATTAAAACTAGCTTACACAAGTCACTCACTCCTGGGACAACTGGGGAACTATGAAGTGAATATTAGGTGATATTATGAAATTCTTATTAATTTTCTAAGGGATAGTCATTGTGGTGTGTTTATGCAGGAAAATGCCTTATTTCTTTTAAAAATTATTTTTATTAGACTTTATTTTTTGGAGTAGTTTTAGTTTCACAGCAAAACTGAGTGGAAAGTAGAGATTTCCTCTATCCCCACACATGCACAGTCCTCTACTATCAACATCCCCACCACGGTGGTACATTTGTGACAATCGATGAAATACGCTGACACATCACTGTCACCCAAAGGCTAGGGTTTACATCAGGATTCAGGTGTCATACATTCTGTCGATTTGGACAAATGCAGAATGACATGCATCTGCCATTACAGTAACATACAGAGTAGTCTCACTGCCCTGAAATTCTTTTGTGAACTTAAGGAGATACATGCTAAAGTATGAGAGGTGACTTACTTTCAAATGGATCAACAACAAAAATATTTGTTTGTGTATAAGCACACATACTTGCACAGATCAAGCAACTGTGCCCAAATGTTCAACTGCTGAATGTTAGGTGTAGGGTATGCAGGCATTCGCTGAACTATTCTTTACATTTTTGTGTGTTTGAAAAGTTTTATAATAAAAAATGGAAGAAAATGAAACAAAAAAATCAAAATGCAGAGGATGAAATATGATTTGGTTTAGGTATCTACTGACATGTGTCCTGGGTCACAATATACATTTATTTCTTATTGTGGGTAAAGGCCCAGAGTTTGAAAGTGCTATCCAGGCTGCATGTGGTGGCTCACGCTTGTAAACCTGTAATCCCAGCACTTTGGGAGGCAGAAGTGGGAGGACTGCTTGAGCCCAGGAGTTCAAGGCCAACGTGGGCAACACAGCGAAACCCCATCTTTGCAGGAAAAAAAAAAAGGAAGAAAATGCTGCCCAGTGTAACTTGCTGCTCTAAGCACACAGCAGGCAGGCAATGATATATTTGTTAATTAACTTCTAGAAGCACAAGATTTAACTGAAGCAGCAAGCTGAGAAATCATTGTTTCCAGTTACATCCCATTAACTCGAGCTGTGTCAACACAGCTAAGCCTTTTCTTGCCTTAACACAACTTGGGTCTAACCTTAACTCAGCCTTCAGGCCTTTCTTATTAGATGTTTAATTACTCATCAGGAAAGATACTGCTGGTTTCCCCTTGATGCCAGGGAGGGAAGTGTGTTTACAGAAGACTCCAAGTAGGGTGACCAATTGTCAGGGTTTGCATGGGATTGAGGTTTCCCAGGTTAAGGGACATTTTATGCTAAAACCAGGACAGACTTGGGCAACCCAGGGCAGCTGGTCATCTGAAATCTGAGCGAAAACTTTAAGAGAACCTTGGACAGACCTGGGAGAGCTGACATTGCTGTGCTGTGTGGTAGATGACACCACGGTAGTGTGAGCAACAGGGGCAAACCCAGACCAGAAAAACAGTAATAAGACAAAGATCACTCTGATGCCATCCAAACAGCAACAGCAAATGCCACACTGCAAAGTGTGCCTCATGTCGTTAAACAAAACCTTTCTCTGATTATTGAACAGCTAATCTGGAAAACAAAGGACAAAAGGAAACTTACTGTAAAAACGTCATCATCACCAAGCTCAGCTTCATTATGGATGGTGGAAGATGATGTTGTTGAGCCTAAAAAGACAAAAATGTAATAAAAAGTGTTTCCTAAGAGGATAAATCAAATCCAACCATTTAAAAAAAGGATATTTAAATAAAACCACATTCTATTACTTTGCATGTGAATTACCAGCAGAAACAAGTTACCTGGGAATTGAGTGCTTTTAATTTACTCTTCTTTAATTGGTTCTTGCCAGGATGCTCCCTAAATTAACTTTGCCTGCTGTTGTTCCCTATTAATCTCTCAAACTTCTGCACTGGCCATAGAGAATAAGCACACAGAGAGGCACAGTGGAGGAGGCGAGGGGAGAGCCTGACCGCTCCTCTGAGGGGCACGCATCAAGTCCAGCCTCTGTAGTGACCTTCAGGTCCCAGCTGTGTAGTGGGAAAAGCACCAGATGGGGAAGCCCTAAGTGAGACCTGCCACAATCTCACTTAGGCAGTTGCTAAGTGCAAACTGGACTTAGCTCCTCTGGTCTTTTCACCTACCAATGAAGGAGTTTTAACTCAATAGCTTGTTTGGTTGTGTCTAGTTCTGAATTGAGATATTCTATTCTAAATCCTAAGCTGTGGGCTCCCTTCTAAGGGGACATCTGTGCAAGGGGGTTTTCTTTTGCAATACCAAGGCATCAGTGAGTTTGTTTTTCCAAGTCAAAATTAAGGCTCTTGTTGGAAAACTTTCCTTATTCCCTCATGGAACCAATTGGACTTTAGAGTTCAATTTATTTTCTTGTTCACCTTTTTCTTCAATCTTGTATGTGAATCAGGTACAACTGCCCCACTTCCCCCCACCACCCCGTAGAGCAGACAATAATGCATGGATCAACTTAATAGGCCAAAAGAAAGACAGAAGTTCGAGGTCAGCCTGGCCAACATGGTGAAACCCTGTCTCTACTAAAAATACAAAAATTAATTGGGTGTGGTGGTGCATGCCTGTAATTCTAGCTACTGGGGAAGCTGAGGCCTGAGAATCATTTGAACCTGGGAGGTGGAGGTTGCAGTCAGCTGAGATCGTGCCACTGTACTCCAGCCTGGGCGACAGAGTGAGACTCCATCTCAAAAAAAAAAAAAGAAAAAATATTTTGCTATTACATAAAATTGAAATTAAAAGAATTGCTCAGAAAGGATGAGAAATATTTAAATTTCCAATGAGAGACCGCAGGAGAAAAAAGAACAGTCCCATATTATGTTCTGTGCAACTCCTATTGGTCTTTCAGAAGTTCTCTCTACTCTGAATTACTCCAATCAACCAATGTTCAAATTTGATAGGAAGAAAAAGCTAGGTAGCATATATACAGAGAAAAAAATTACAAGTAGCAGAATGACATGTTGTGCAATTAAGTCATGGACACAATGTGAACGTCTATCAATAAAATAGGAGGTGCTTTTTCTCTAAACAGGTAAAAGCTATGTTTAATAACATGATATCTGCAGGTGCTGCAGTGGAGAATTTCTGCATTTGCATCTGTGGACTCTAGCCAAGCCCACCATGAGAATTGACTGCCCAAGTTCTCATGGACTGCCTCCAGGCCATGATCAGATGTAACACAATGCCTGCTACTCACCGATAGACCAAGGCCTAAACCGAACCAGGGCTCCAGAGGTCTCAGATCCCTTTCCTTTTCAGTGGCAGCCGTACACCCTGGACCTCTGATTACAGGAGGACAGTGGGTAGGCCAGGAGCCTTCTGGGCCAGCCAGAATCCGTTCTCTACTTCTGAGCCAGACAGACCAGACCAGAGCCATTTCAATAGTCAGGACAAGGTGAAAGCAGTAAAAAATACATGCACATGGAAATCCAGAACCTGCCTCTTTGTTTTTTCACAGGAGAGTCTAGAAATCAATTGGGATTACTCCTTACTCTGAAATCCATCTCCTTTTCCCTGCATTGTCACTTTAATTACTCTCCTTGGATGTTCCAAAGGTTTTGGCATCTACTGACCTGGCCCCAAACCCTCCCGCAAATAAACCACAAATATATTATGGCAGACTATTGGAATTAAAAAGAATTTGGAACATTTCCATAGTCCCACTAAGAATGCAGCGACAAGTTCAATACCTTCTATAAGGTCTTCGATTGCTTTCCTTACTCCCCTGTCAAAGGCTCGGGCATCAGCAGGGCTTTGGAAAGTAAGTCCAAACTTCCTATTATCGACCTTCCAATGATGAAACGTTGGATTGGCTTTGGTGTAGACCAAGTCCTTTCTTACATAGCATTCCAATACCACCTGAAGGATGGAAACACAGGCTGGTTACTAGTGGAACAGCCATGATGAAGTCTGGTTAGAAGTCTAATTAGGAACCATCACTGGTGGCAACTACCAAAACCCCTCTGTCCCCTGCCTTTGCGTATCTGTGAGTCTTTCCAACTGGAAAGAAGGTTTTGCTTGGCTGCTGACCATCTGATCTTTGCTGCTCCCTGCCCCTTGGCTTTGGTGGTCCCCACTGTCCTGGCTGTACTCCTTCACCATGCTCTCTTCATCACACTCATTCCTCTTCCTTCTGGCCCCTGGCTGGCAGGGCACTAAGCTGATGCCCAAGTCTTGGGTGTTTATTCCAGATTACTGCTTTCATGTTGGGGGTCTTTGTATTGATGGCTGTCTAGCTTCCCTCCCCTGATGCCCCAAATTCCAAAAGTGGAAAAATTAACTTTACTCTAAAATTTCTCCTCTCCCAACTTTTGGCAATACCAATTCCTCTCGGCTCATTTTCTCTGGCTCAACGTCTCTGCGGTCATCTTTGCCTCATCTGCCTATTCCCTGTATTATTAATCACCAGGCCCATTTCATTTTTCCTTCAACATCTTTTATATCAATCCCATTTCAGTTGCTGCCATCCTGATCTGGGTCTATTAACTTTATGTTTGGATTAACAGAACCACCTTCAAGTTTCTAGCAATTTAGTCTCAGAATGGGCTTTTACTGAGTTATAACAAGCAGATTGATCTTTTTATCTCTAAGATGGAAGGAACACTAATGTTATCAATGAGAACAAGAACATGCTCCGACAACACTGAATAAATGAGAAATCTAACAGGGTCACACTCATTGCCCAGTATATCTTCCCCATCAAGTTTTATTTTTGTGTGTACTTCCTTCTTGTCAGCTTCATAATTTTGTACTGATTTCAAATTATTCTCTAACAGTTTCATGTATATTAGTCTCATTCCTCTAACTAGACTACAAAAAGTCAAGATGTATTATAAAATAACTCCCTCTGTGTCTAGCACAGTTGATAGGGATACTAGAGTTTATTTATTATAGAAAAGAAACATTGCAATAATTTGAGTGTGAACTTTGTTCTTTATTCATTAAAAAACTCAAACTACTTACAATATTTATTCCTATGGCTTTATTGCAAACACCATCATGATTTTGCTAAGTTTTAATAGCCCTAATCTTGTTCTGGCAAAGATCTGCATTTGCCACAATGTGATCTTATTTAGACTAAATTAAGGACAAAAATAAAGGCTTGCCTAAATTAGCATACATGTAAGTCAGAAAATATTTTTAAATAAGTATAAATTCTAAGAATAGATTAAAGCAAAAAGAAATGAAGGAGGCTGTGCAGTGGCTTACACCTGTAATCCTAACACTTTTGGGGGCCTGAGGCAAGAGGATCACTTGAGCCCAGGAGTTTGAGACCAGTCTGGGCAACATGGCAGGACCCTGTCTCTACCTAAAATACAAAAATTAGCTGGGTGTGGTGGCGCATGCCCATAGTCCCCACTACTCAGAAGGCTGAGATGGGAGGATTGCTTAAGCCTGGGAGGTTGAGGCTGCAGTGAGCTGAGAAGGTGCACTGCTACACTCCAGCCCAGGTGGCAGAGTAAGACCCTGTCTCAACAAAAAGAAAGGACAAATGAAAAATACACTAAGGGTTGTCTAATGAATGTTCCCTAATTTAATAAATAAATGAGAATAATATTCAAATTGGTATACCAAATAGTAGTTCCAAGCAGTCAACTCTATTACATTGTATTGAGATTGGACAACAGCCCCCTCCCATAATTCTATTTATGATTAAATTGCTTATTATGGCCATTTCCTCCTAAGAATAGCACAATGATTAAATGTCAGCCCAGCCCCATTCCAAATCGGAAAAATCCAAATAATCAAGAATTTAACTAACAAATGTTATCTATTTTAGAATTTAATAGCCTCCATTCAAAGTCTCAAAATAAACTTTCTGTATTATAAAAACAAAGACTCCTAGTTTCTCCATATTTTTGGGGTGAAAAAATTAAGTCTTTGGTTGACATTTTCCAACTTTGAAATTATTCCAAAGGTATATATTCTTACACAAGTTTAAGTAAAATCAGTCACCTAAATTAAGTAGGGGGGGGATCAGATACCATCTCTTTATGTCTTCTGGAGCAAAAGAGTATCATATGTATCTAAGTGTAAAGACAAAAATGAAAAAGTTTAGATGCTTTAATCTTCCCAACAGATATAAACTCTCTGGTGAAGTTTTGGCACACACACAATTAGATACTAACTTAAAACTTGAGAAAGGTTTTAAAAAATACCTGTTTAAATAAGATGCATAAGGAGAAAAAAAGTGATTATATTCTTGTTGGAGACTTAAAAAAACTACACAAGAAAATACATGTTGTGAAAGATTTAAGTATTAGATGAAGACATGAAGACTCCATTCCTACTCACTCTCCCTCTACCATCAACATCTCTGTGTAGAGTTCCCCACTGTCAGTAGAGTGGTCACAATCCCAGTTTCTGTTTTGTGGCTTCTTTATATAAACACACATAAGTTTGTGTGTAAGTGTAACTGTGTTTAAACGTGGCCACACCTATAAGGTGTTTTTCAACTTGCTTTTTATTTTCCTTAAAAATATGTCATAGAGATCCAGGAGAGTAAAAATAATTGTTTAATTCCTCCATGTGGATGTATTAGATTTATTCAACCATTCTCCATACCAACAGGCATTTATATCAATGAGAACTGTCACCTTGAAGACAATGCTGCAATTTATATCCTTATATATTTCAAGTATAAATTAGAACTCTAGACAGCTTCCTCGTACTTAAAGACTTTTCTAATGAGTCAGTGGCAATATTAAGACATGCAGTTTTTTGAGGCCGGATGAGGTGGCTCATGCCTGTAATCCCAAAACTTAGGGAGGCCAAGGTGGGCAGATCACCTGAGATCAGGAGTTCGAGAATAGCCTGGCCAACATGGTGAACCCCTGTCTCTGCCAAAAATACAAAAATTAGCCACGCATGGTGATAGGCACCTGTAATGCTGTCTACTCAGGAGGCTGAGGAAGGAGAATCGCTTGGACTCAGGAGGCAGAGGTTGCAGTGAGCTGAGATCGCACCGTTCTACTCCAGTCTAGGGGACAAGGGCGAAACTCCATCTCAAAAAAACCCCCCAAAACAAAAAAGAAATGTAGTTTTTTTTTTTATATTAACAAGTCAGTGGCAATATTAAGAAATGTAGTTTTTGATAGTCAGTGGCAATACTAAGAAATGTTGTTTTTTGACATTATAGAATAAAATGTATCAACATGTGGAACATCTGCTTAACTCAGTGGAGCATTATTTTTCAGGTGACCAATGCATGACGTTACAAAATCAGGGATGGGTAAAAGATCTATTGAAAGTGAAAGATATAAACCAGTGGGTTGTAATGTAACAGAGTATGAATGTATGAATGGTGCATTGATAGGTTTCAGATTCCACATTTAAGAAGCCACTCTGGGTTGAGTTTTAGTGTAGTATCAAAGAATAATATCTAAAATTGTCTGAAAAGGCTATTAAAAGATTTCTCCCCTTACCCACTCCCCTCCTCAGTGAGGAGCTGAATTTTCTTTATATACTTCAACTAAAATAACGAACTACAGATTAAAATAATATATTACAGATTAAAATAGGAACAGATACCAGAACCCAGCTATTTTCTGGAAAGCCAGATATTAATGAGCTCTCCAAAAACATGAAGCAATACCATTCTTCTCGTAATTACTTTTGTTCTGGAAAAGTTATACAGTTATTTGCCATAAAAATGCCATTTATATTGACAACATTGTTAAAGAGTTTTAAATTTTTTTCCATTTTAATTTCAAATATGGTAAGTTTTAAGTAGCTGTAACTCACCAAACCAAAAGCTCTTTGCTGTCCTGAATAAAATTTTGGAGCGTAAAGTGATCCTAAGACCAAAAGAGTTTAAGAACCATTGCTGTCCATAAATCTGTATGTTTAAGTCTTTTTCTAAAGGATAATGTTCTAGACGTGAATTACTAGGTAAAAAGATATGCACATTTAAAATTAAAATCCTGCCAAATTGCTTTTCAAAGAGCTTTGCCAGCTCAAATTCCCACCAAATGTTATGTGAGAATGCTCACTGACCTACACATGGGCAAAGACTGGAGTGATCAACCTCTTAGATTTTGTGGTTAGTCTCCATTAAGAGGTTTCTCACAAGATTTATTTAAGGAGTAAACTCCTCTAATCCATCTAAAATGAGATTCAACTCAGAAAATTTTAATTTACATATAATTTCTCAGGCTTGACTGTCCCCAGCTTACCAAAAAATTATGTGAATAACTACTTGTGAATGGGTATCTGGAACAGAGACTTTTCCCCATAGAAACAATGGCAGTTGGGTTCACAGCCCTCAATATGTAACTAAACAAATGCCCACAATGTGCTGAATTCTAGACCTGCACTACAGTGTAAAAACTGACAACACTGTTTCTATCAGAAAGAGCACTTCATGCCCTAGTTGGAATACTGGGAACTCTGATACCATCCACCTAATATATCCTAAAAATGATCTTCATCTTTTCTTTGCCATTCCACCTTTTGGGGAGGGTTCCCTCAATAACTCACCACATTTGCAGAGCTCCCCTGTGGGGGCATAGTCTCCAGTGGGCACTAGCATTGCATTAGAGAAGCTTGAGGGGCCCAAAGGAAGGGTTATCATAGCTCTAAGGAGAGAGGAGGAGAGGGAGAGGGAGAGGAAGAGGGAAAGAGGAAGTGAGAAGGGAAGGGGGGTTGGGGGAGGGAGGGAGAATGTGTGCACGTATATGTGTGTGTGTGTGCTGGGTATGGGTGAGTGGAGGGGTTAAGTACCACTCAGTATAGGAATCCAGAATTTCCCAGAGCGTGAAACAGGCAAGGTGAGGGTTGGAAAGATAGAGAAATATAATTGGATATATGGGTGTATGATTTACGTACTAGTGAACATGAAAGCCCACAAGTGTGGAGTCCAGGAATGTAAAGGGGACAGGAAAAGGGGTGGGAAGACGGAGAAACATAATAGGGGAGGAGATGGGCACACTTTTAGGATAGCACAATCCATGTACTATCAACAAACAACAGAAGTTGGTCCACGACTCAGCAGGGGTGGACAGAGGACTGGACTGCCCTAGTAGTTTGCAGGGTTAGTGTGAAGGGACAGGCTTTGGTTTTGCAAAGAAATGGGCCCCAACCCTGGCTCTGCTGGTGACATTACCCGTCCCATGCCAAGGACGTGGCTTACTTCTTAGAGCATTGAGTTTCCCCATTACAATGTGGAAAATAGTAATAACTTCCTCTTTCAGGATGTTGCAGGAATTTAACTGAGGTTATTTACTTTTAAAGGACTTGGAACAAATGGTAAAAGTTTACTATGCAAGTCCCTGGTAAGACATTATCAGTGACTGGATTAGACAAGCTAAAAGGCCTATTTAGGATGAAGTATTCTATGACAAACCACAGAAATACGAGGAAAAAGTAGCTCTAAAAACATGACCCTTCAGATGAGACAATCTGGTAAAACACAAAATAACCCTAAAAACAAAAAGGCCAGAGAAGTGGAAAAAAATTTATATATATATATTTATATATATAAAATAACTAAAAGGGCAAGCAAGAGATTATAAAAATATACTTGCAGCAAATATGACAGATGGAGATTCAGATCTTTATTATTCAAGAGGGCATACACATCAAGGAGGAAAATAAGGCCCCGATAGGCAAATATACAAAGGATACCAACAGATAACTCACACTTACAACTGTTTAACAAACAGAAAAACATTTTATCTCATTAGTAAGCAAGAAGACTTTATATGTATATTTTATATACATATATATCATTCAATGTGCTAAAGGAAATTCTAATACTGACAGTAGCTCCTTGCACATGTATCAAAAGTCATAAAAATATGACCCCCTAAATTATTCCAAAAATATAATAAATGTGGAAAATTCACATAGGTGTATTCCTAACACTTGGGTGAGGGGAAGAACCTTAATAATTGACACTAAGGAGGTGGTCAAATAATGAAACATCAAACTGATATCAGCAACACGGAAAATTTCTTATGAGAATGTTAGGGCAATGCTGTTTTATGATAATCTTGAAACAGAATGTTGAAGCAAAATAAATGAGATATACAACTGTTTTAAAATATGGCTGGGCACAGTGGCATGTGTCTGTAGTCCCAACTACTCTGGAGGATGAGGTGGGAGGACCATTTGAAGCCCAGGAATTGGAGGCCAGTCTGCGCAACAAAGTGAGATCTTAAAAAAAAAAAAAAAAAAAAAAAAAAAGTACAAAGCGGGAACGTTACATCAAAGGGCTAAGGGTGGTTGTTCAGTTTTGGGGTCAGAGTGACAAGAGAATCAAATACTGGTTCCAGGCCCCCCAAAACAGGCCACCGAGAACAAGGAATCTTTCTGAATCATAATTTTTTCAATTACAATTATACAAGCTGCTGTAAGGATACAATGATAGATCTGACCGAAGGGCTGGGTTGTATGTAGTATATGGCAAATGCTAGATAAATGGCAGTCATTTTACTTTCTATTGGTAAAGTAGTTTCATTGCCTTTTATTGCAAACATGTTATAAATAAGAATGTTTTCATTATTTGGCTATTATATAGGGTATTTCCTAAATAAATGCGTCTTAAAATTAGCTATCTTCTCCCTTTAAATTTTCAGAAATGAAATCAAATGTGAAAATAACACTTCTATTAACCCATATGTAACATTTACAAATTGTTCTGTCTTATCTATTTTGTGAATTTTTTAAACTATAAGAAGTGCTTGCAAAAGAAGATTAAATTTGTACACTTAACACATAAAACCCAACAGATGCTGCTGTAAAGGGTCTCAAATGTAACACTGACATATTCCTCTGGTGTCTTCATATTTTCTCTGTGGAATCTTGCACAATCCTGCACATTCTGAATCATCTTTTGGCTTCTGGGTATACACTCCATGATCAACTACAGATAGAAGTAGTGTTCTTCCATGTTTAGGGCCATGAATTTAAAATAGATTTGGATATTCTATTTTCCTTTCTATCATGGCTTCCTTCATAACATAGAACTGATCATTTGAATTCCTCCATGAGACTGTATATTATGAAGTATCAATCCCCCAACCTTGAGAGAGGATGATTAATCTCCAAAGTATTTATCTATAAGCATGGATAATTATTTACATAATTATGGGCCGGTGCGGCAGCTCATGCCTATAATCCCAGCACCTTGGGAGGCTGAGGTGGGCAGATCACTTGAGGTCAGGAGTTCGAGATCAGCCTGGCCAACATGGTGAAACCCTGTCTCTACTAAAAATACAAAAAGTGGCTGGGTGAAGTGGCATGCACCTGCAGTCCCAGCTACTTGGGAGGCTGAGGCAGGAGAATCGCTTGAACCCAGGAGGCAGAGGTTGCAGTAAGCCAAGATCACACCACTGCACTCCAGCCTGGGCGACAGAGAGAGACTCCGTCTCAAAAAACAAAAAAAAAAAAAACAAAAAAAAAACCAAAAACAAAAACCGAAGTATGACACCACCGCTTTTTGTTACTTTCTTTTTCCTTTTGTTACTTTTCTTTTTTTTTTATTCATAAGGGCATGAAATAAAAGCTACAGCATCTTCTGGATAAACATTTATTTTTAAGTAGCCTAATGTCAGATGACATCTTGCCTTTGTATTTTACCTGCCACCATCCAAACCTCAATAGCATGCTCCATGAATAAACTCTACATTTTTAAAACTCTGACTTCACAGCTCAGTACAATGTGATTCATAATAATAAAAGAGTACACTTTCGTTTTGAATATCTTTTTACAATGATAGACATCTTAATCAAAGATGTAAATAAAACAGCCAAATATACATCTAAGCATCTCAGATAAAGTGTGTGGTCAAAAGGGACTTTGCTGGAAAGGAACAGTCACATTTTGCAATTTGGCACCAGCTCCAGGGTTCTAACTTTTGAAGCTTTTGCAAGAGTTTGAATTCAGAGAGAGAAAGAAAAAAAATATGTTCAGAGGACTATGATCTAACGTAAAGAAAGCAGTTGTCACAAATTTAACCCAGGTGTTGTATGTCTGCCATTACCAGTTTGTCTTTCTGTCGTTCACCATGGATGAGAAAGCCGCTTCGTCCATTGCCTTCGGGGTGCATGACCTTACAGACCCCGACGCGACTGATCCCGCCTCCTTCCTGTGGGAACCATCCCCCGCTGGAGTCATCTCTGGTCATAACCACAGCCTTGACACGCACAATATAGCTGTCACTAAAACGACAACAACAAGAAGAATGGGGCATGACAATGGTCTGGTAGTTGCAGCACTTTTTTGGACTTATTGAAAAAAAATCTATGCCTGGCGGCAACCTTAAAAAACAACCCATCTCAACTTCTAGGGAAAAAACAAAACACTTAAACTCAATATAAAAGTACATTTAAAAAAAGATACCTAGTAATTAAAAATTACTTGTGATCTAAAGATGTACATAGGCACAATATTCTCTAGTTTCTAGGTATAAGTACTGATAAATGAGTTGATCTCTGTAGTTTAGTATTTTTAGGTTGGAAAGACACAAACCTATTTTGGGTTGTTGTTGTTTATTTATTTATTTTGATGGAGCTTTGCTCTTGTTGCCCTGGCTGGAGTGCATTGGAGCGACCTCAGCTCACTGTAACCTCCACCTCCTGGGTTCAAGCAATTCTCCTGACTCAGCCTTCCAAGTAGCTGGGATTACAGCCACCCGCCACCATGCACGGCTTATTTTTTGTATTTTTAGTAGAGATGGGGTTTCACCACGTTGGCCAGGCTGGTCTTGAACTCCTGATGTGAGGTGATCCACCCACCTTGGCCTCCCAAAGTGCTGGGATTACAGGCATGAGCCACTGCACCTGGCCTACAAACCTATTAAGAGGGTATTATGGTTTCAACCCTTTAAAATTAGTTGAAAATGAATGACCAAATTTTAACATTTTATAAAGCCAAGAATCTTATTTAGCATAAAATAGGATAATCTACTTCTAAATCATAAATTCACCATGAAATCATGTATCTAGGTAGGAAAATATTCCAATTCTAATAACCCCTTACACATTTGTAGCCTTCTGTTTATGATTTTATTTTTTACAGTCTAAAACCTCAATTTCACAATAAGTTCTTTTGCACATTTGCCAAAAATCCTCTTTCTTCCCCAGAGACCAACTCCAGCTTCTTTTCATTCTTCATCACTTTTGGGGAAATTTATTTGGATTTTCAGCAAGGCCATTATATTATCACTTGCTGTTTTCTTTCTTTGGATAGAATTCATTTTTACTCATTCAATCATATATTTGCATCTTGTATATGCCAGGCGCTGTGGCAGATTCTTGGGAAACAAAGCTGCAGAGTAACAAAGAACTGCCATCCCCTCGTTCCCTGGGCCTCAGGAAAGATGCCCGCGGGCACTCAGAACCTGGCCCCTCAATTGGCCAGAGGCATGGAGGCAGTCCCTGTGCCCCATATCCCTGCTCACTTCACTCACCACTAAAGGCAAAGCCACCAGATTTTCCATGACCCCCTACGGCTCACCCTCCACTGTCACCCAACTCACCTCCCTTGGTGCCCCAAACCCAAGGTCTCCCATTTCCTTTACTTCCTCATCCCCTCTTCTAATCATTCATTTTTTTTCATTGTTGTAAAATACTAATGGTGTAAAATTTCCCGTTTTAACCATTTTTAAGTGTACAAGTTCCGTGGCATTAATTGCACCCACATTGTTGGGCAACCATCTACCTCTAGAACTTTGCATCATCCCAAACTGAAACTCTGTTCCCATAAAAAACAGACTCTCCCTTCTCCAACCCCTTCGCCCCTGGCACCCACCACTCTACTTTCTGTCTCTATGAATTTGATGCTCTAGGTACCTCATATAAGTTCCTTTCCCTTTCCTAACCTAAATGAAAACGCACTCTCAACTGGGCCTCTGTGGCCCATTCTCCCTGGGCTGTTTTCTGCCTTCCCACTGCACCATGCCGGGCCTACCTGTGGGTATGGTAACTGCCACTGCTGCAGACTATTCAGCCTCCCTTCAGTGCTTCTGAAGCTCACACCCTGACCATGCCCCCGACAACCCTTCTTCAGCCTTCTACAGACTCACTTCCCTTCATTCCTTGAAGACTTCAGCAACTAGGCTCACTGTCCCTCCATCTCTCCACCATGATCCCTGCCATGATTCTTGATAATTTCATTACTGATGCTGAGGATCCCTCCAATTCCCGGGCCTCTCAGGTTCTGGGCCTCTTTCTCTCCAATGCCCTTGTCTTTTTTTTTTTTTTTTTTTTTTTTTTTTTTTTTTTGAGACGGAGTTTCGCTCTTGTTACCCAGGCTGGAGTGCAATGGCGCGATCTCGGCTCACCGCAACCTCCGCCTCCTGGGTTCAGGCAATTCTCCTGCCTCAGCATCCTGAGTAGCTGGGATTACAGGCACACGCCACCATGCCCAGCTGAATTTTTGTATTTGTAGTAGAGACGGGGTTGCACCATGTTGACCAGGATGGTCTCGATCTCTTGACCTCGTGATCCACCCGCCTCGGCCTCCCAAAGTGCTGGGATTACAGGCTTGAGCCACCGCGCCCGGCCTCCAATGCCCTTGTCTTACAACCTACTTGAGCCATTCATGCCCAGGTCAACCGTGGATCTTGTCATTACTGATAACTACACTACCTCCATAACTCAATTGTAAGCATCCTGCTCTCTGACCACTCCTAACTTTGCAGCTCCCTTCCTCCAGACTCCAATAATTCTTTGCCCTGTTGGGGCCAACAATCTATTTTTCTGACCACTTTTGCCCTGTCCCCCAAACCCCACATCCTCAACTAATTCTCTACCCAACATTCCATCACATTCCACTTTTTTTTTTTTTTTTTTTTT